GATAAGTCTATTTTCAATAGTTATAGTATATGGAGTATTGATTATAAGGATGTGAATGACATGAAATGTATGTATACTTGATTATATGAATTGATATGTGCTATGTGATTGATGTGATATTCCATACGTGAAAATAAAATATGAACTATAGGAAAGGATTATATGATGTATTGATAGGTGAACAAAATATGACATGCATGTTTACTGAACATATGAGAAATAACATAAGTTATGTGGTACGATTTATATGATTATATGCACATGTGATATATGTTATATGATATGGATCTATGTGACTACGTGAGAAAGAATATATGTCTATGAAAAGACATAAGAACAATGTATACGCTATGTGACATGTGAATATGAAGCATCTGAAAATGTTCTACGTGTAAGTGAACTATGTGCCAATATGAATATGTAATAAATATGAAAGATAATGCCATATTATGTTTCATGAGATCTAGACGTATAGTTGGCATGCCAAGAGTCGAGGGGTCTACGCGGTCCTTCGGGACAAATTCTACGTGGTCCTTCGGGACGTATATGTATTCTTTGGAATATGTATGAGGTCTTTTGAGACACCTACTTGATCCTTGGTATATGTATATGATTCTTAAGGAATTTCTATGTGGTGCACTACGGTGCAATTCTACGTGGCACTTCGATGCATTTCTATGCGGTCCTTCGGGACAAATTCTACGTGGCACTACGGCGCAAATTTATACGAACTGTGGTGACAGCATAGTGCACAACCTCACAGTACTCACATACCTTAAGTTCTCAGAAATGTACATGGGCCTATAAAAGGCATCAAAAGTATTTACAAGATTCATATGTGATATTGTGTGTATTCTTAAGTGAAATGTATTTGTTATATGAGATTGGTAATTATTTATGCAATGGTGTGATCTAGAGTTACATTATATGTTGATATGGTATATAAAGAAATTAGTGATGATAAAATGAGAAATGATAAGCATGTAATAATGTTATGTTACATAATATGTGCATGTATGTATATATTACAGAAAAGAATATATGATTTGGTATGATAAGGTATTATCAATGTTCATGCATTATAGAAGTTACAATTAGCATATAATTATGTTTTATATGCCTCACTAAGTCAACGACTTAGCGCGTGATTGTTTCACGCGTAGGCTATGAGAAGAGGAAGATTGGAAAAAGTTATGCAAGACAGGTCAGTTCCTCCTTTCCAAAGATCAGATCAGAAAAGAAATGTATAGTATGTATTTTGTAATAAGGATAGTGGTTGGCATGTAAATAAATGATGAATTATGATATGTTCTAATTGGTTTGTAAAATCATATGAATGAGTTTTCTAATGTTTAAACGTATTTATGTAAATGTAAATGTACAGTAATGAACGGTTAAATTTTTATGAGTTTTATGTATGTCTTTCGAAAATCGTTGTAGCAGTGCATCGATGCATAAATTTGCTTCAAAATTTTGGTACATCGATGCACGGTAGCACTGTTCATTATTGTTCACGGTACTGTTCATACCGTATTTCATTGTTCATAATTACATTTTTAATCTCAAAATTTTATACCAAACACAATTGAACAATATATGATCGTATTTTCTTAATATAAGTTCAAATGTTCAGTTATTTTACAAGAATAAAGGTTTTGAAATATCAATGTGATATCTCGGACTCATATCCGGGTCGGATACAGGTTGGGGTGTTACACATTGTCTGGATGAAAGTCATGGAGAAATAAGAGTCTAAGCCTATTTGTATCGTTAATGCACCGACAGCCTTGCAATCTTTGATGGATGATGTGTTTTCATTGCAGGTAAGATAGCCTGTGGCAGGTTTTCTGATGACATCTTGATGTATGACTCTACCTAAGGGAATCAGAGTAAACGCTTGCAAACTGTTTTTCAAGTACTAGAAAACCTTACAAACCGGTTTAGCATGAACCCTGGAAACTATTGGGGAGCGGTGGAAAGCAGGTTGGGCCTTCAATTACTAGCCGTCATGTAAACTTCTCGTTTTTAAGGAAGTAAGAAAGTATGTCACGGACGATTGTCTAAAAAAATATGTAATGGACTCTTTTCATCATATCAATAATTAAATATCTCAAATTCTATGTATGAACATAATTGTTCGTTGCACAAAATGAACTACCTCAATGATCAAAGAGTTTTTAGAATATATATTAACACTTGTAATCACTCTATTTTAATAAAAAAATTGTTTGTTATATTTCTAGAATTTAAATAAATTAAATTATGGTAGCATAATATTTATATATTTTTAAATAAATTAAATTATAGTATAAGAATAATTTTAAGGAAACATTAAGGAAGAAAACATGCGTAGAATGGAGTTGAAGGTCTACTTGCTATATAATATAACTATTGGAGTTGCAGACAACAACAAATTAAAAAAAGGACCGGGGGTGGGGGGACTGCCTGTCCCATTTATGCTTTCACTCGTAGCTTTCCTCCACCATCAAGACGGAGTTCACTATTATGGAGACAGGCAGCTCCTCAACCTGCAACGCCACTTTCAATGGAACCACAATTGGGATACTCTTGCTTCAACTTGTGTCTCATAAATCAAGTAAGCTTTCTTTTCATTGTTGTTGTCAAACCAAATGAAGAACAAGACTCGTTTACATTACATTGCTGCCCAAACCGGCCTTCACCATTATTTCATTTTCCACTCTGGGGTGTATTCAGTATCTCTATGACTATCTTTGCTTTCTTTCTTTTTTCCTGCTAGGAATAGGGAAAGGATCCGTAACTGCTCTCATGGCTTCATGCCTTGTGGGAGACATCCATTATTGCCTTCTCTTTTTATTTACTCCAGAGTGGAAGACTATATGAACTTTACTTTTTGCTTATCTTGACTTTGCTTTTCATTAGACTATGCAATTATAATTGGCTTATAACTGCTTTTACTTTTCTTGTATAATATATATCACGTACTTTCAGTTTAGCTTAACTAATTGGCTTTACTGCTTTCGGTCAATGGATATAATTGCATAACATCGAATACATACATTCATAAACCTATACACACAGCACATATATAGTGAAGGAGACGTGTGAGAGCTTAAAAATTTCAAATTATCATATATTTTAATTTTTCTCATTGTATTTTTATTAATAATATATTTTTCATCTATAAAATTTTATAAATTCGTCACTGCTTAGATCTTAAAAAAATTCTGAGTTTGTTTCTACTTATATGTACCTTTTTCCCTCTGCATATCAACCATTTTTGTTAAATTGGCTTTGCTTCATTCTTTACATCGTTTATGCTTTGATCTTTGTTAATGCAAAATTATGTTTAAGGGTAGGCATTATTATATATAGTTTTACCCCTTTAATTTTGTATGTTTAGGGAAGGAGAAAGGTGCGACTATATTGGAAGTGAAGCACCGAGATCATTGTTATGGGGCAAGGGACAGAGACTGGAACAAGTTGCTTCAAAGACGCTTGATTTTGGATGAGCTAAGAGTTCAGTCATTGCAAGGCCGAATTAAAAACAAGGCTTCTGCCAAAGCACAAGATGTCTCTGATGCTTCTGGTGTCGGACTTGGGATGTTAAACTTCATTGTTACAGTTGAAATTGGTGGTCGAAAAATGACGGTAATTATCGATACCGGAAGTGATTTGACTTGGGTTCAATGCCAGCCCTGCAGATCATGTTATGACCAAAAAGAACCTCTTTTCAACCCTTCAGCATCTCCTTCCTACAGAGTAGTCTCATGTAATTCATCCGAGTGTCAGTCGCTTGCATTTGCAACTAGGAACACAGGAACCTGTGGGGAAAACCCACTGACCTGTAATTATGTAGTTAGCTATGGCGACGGGTCCTACACTAATGGTGATCTAGCTCATGATCACCTCAATCTAGGGAAGAGTCCAGTGGAAAAATCCGTATTTGGGTGTGGCCGGAACAATAAAGGTCTGTTCGGTGGAGCTTCTGGTCTGTTGGGACTGGGGAGGAGTACTATATCTCTGGTTTCTCAAACTTCTGCAATTTTTGGCTGGTTTTTCTCCTATTGTCTGCCATCAACAGAAACTGGGGCTTCTGGTTCATTAGTTTTGGGTGGCAATTCATCAGTTTACAATACTTCAAGCCCCTTTTCTTACACTAGAATGATCCCAAATCCAAAGCTATCAACTTTTTATTTCCTCAACCTTACTGGAGTCAGTGTTGGTGGAGTGACACTGAAAGATTCAAGCTTTGGAAAATCGCAATGCTTATTGATTCCGCGACCATTATCACAAGGCTTCCGCCAGCAATTTACAAGGTCTTGAAAGCAGAGTTTCAGAAACAGTTCTCCAGCTTCCCAACTGCACCGGCTTTCTCGATCTTGGATACCTGCTTTAACCTTAGTGCATACCAAGAAGTGGACGTTCCTACACTAAAATTGCATTTTGAGGGTAATGCATAGATGAATGTGGATACCACTGGGGTCTTTTACTTTGTAAAGACAGATGCATCTCAGGTGTGTTTGGCTTTTGCAAGCCTCTCATTCGAAGACAAAATCGGTATCATTGGAAATTATCAGCAAAGAAACCAAAGGGTTATATATGATACAAAAGAGTCAAAGTTGGGATTTGCGCAGGAAAGTTGCAGTTTCACATAAGTACAAACTGCAATGGTTGGCAGCTTTGGATATATATATAACTATCATCTTTTTTAAGCCAACTGATGTATTGGCAGTTAACAATATCTATACCCCACCATCTTTTTTTCTTAATTCAAATTATATACATATTGCTCAGGGAAAATTGAAGGTATAGAAATATCATAGCCGCTCAAGACTTCCAGAGTGTGCTCAGTAAATGGTACAAATTGGGGGGGGGGTTTGAGCTACTGCCTGAAATAACACTACTTCCACAGTAGATGCAAGAACTTAATTTCATGTAAAATTAAATATCATTGTACTATTTATTTATATGAAGAAATATTCCAAGTGTGTAAAATCAGTTATGTCTCTGATAAAGCATTGACTATGTAAATAATTTCATTGCTCTTTTAGCCTAAAAGCATATTGATACAACAAGCACGTCACGAAGCAGAGAATAAGAGAGAGAGAAAGAACCTGATGCATATCTTGGAACTGCCCCAGCGAAATTGATTGCCTTGTATGAAAATCTGTCTGAACGCTGAATTTTCATTGCTTCCTCAGTATTAAATGCTTCGGACAAAGAGGCATCTGAGAAAAGAAAGAAGTTCCTGATGATTTGAACCCTGAGTTATTGTCCTTGAGCATAGGTTTAGATTCTTCAGCAAATGATTCTAAGGCAACTATACCTCACGAAGCACAGTGATTAGGAACAAAAAAGAGTGTGTCCTTGCATATCTAAGACATTCTAAACGATAATTGCTACAACTTTCCAACTCGAAAATAGGATGTTTAGTTTTGGAATGGAGAGGTCCAACTAGATAATATGATAACCATATTCATTATTACTTGTTCTCCTGAAGTCTTAAATACCAGCCCAGGGTCTAGTCAGATGCTAAGACAAGGGTAGCCATTTCAATATTTTCTGGTTCAAGTACATCATTTACCCGTTTTCTCCTCAACGTCTCAGACGGAAGGATGGACAGGTTGGGATCACTTCTAGGTATCAAAAATAGGAACCCAATTGGGATAAGTCTTAACAGGCTCCGGATGATGATGGATATCCAAAGGTTGTCAAATTGTGTTCGTGTAACATTCAGCATATGGAGCACTAGGCCTCCTGACCAGGCTGATGAAAGTAGCCCTATATGATCGATTGACATGATTAGAGCGAAGAAAGTGCCTTCTATACCAGATGGGCAAAGCTTGGAGCTGAGTACAAGAAAAGGCATCCATTTAATACGCCCAATCATACGAGAGACAGCTTCATCAATCACCACGAAGAAATAATCTGACATACCAAGTTTCAAATTTATACGCAACACCAATACCAAATCGAGCAATCCAGATATACCATACAACAGCTGGGCCCAAAACAGTATATCACGAAAAGGATGATTTTTCAAAAAGTTCTGGTATAGAAGGACCCCAAAAAGAGAGCCCACAGCACCTACAGAGAATATGGATCCAACAATTTCCTGAAAAAAGCATACAACTAACAGATTTATCCTAGATAATAGGGGGGAAACAGTCAAAATGCTCATACCACACTCTTTAAGTTTTTCATGTTGACGATTTGAGGTTATTCCAGTGTTTAGACTACATGAATTAAATAAAAAAAGTTGAAAACATCACGAACACAATTGAGTGACTTAAAATGGAACAAAACGCAGGTAGAAAGGAGCAAATAAACACTAATAATCATTATATGTATGATCGTATCCATAAATGTGCCTAGAGAGGTGGCATAAGTAGATCCATCTCCATTAACTAGAATGAATTGGCCAACCAACCCAACCCAACCCAAATAACTTAAAAAGTGAGAAATTGACTACTTGAAATTGAAATAACCTAAAAGCAACCTGAAATCAAAATGACCAAACCAAGACCAATACCTAGTAGTATAGGTGGCAGCAAAGAATACCCTGACTTCACCCACAATGAAAGTGAATCATCTTTAAAAGTCGACTTGAAAATGATCTGAGCCTAAAATAACTTAAACTCCAGCTACCCAAAGGCCAAACAACTGAAATTAAGAGCAACACACAACCACTTGGAACTGGCTCACTGACCCAATTGTCAACCCCAAAGATACAATTTTATTACTGAATCGTATGTAATATAAAACATGGAACAGAACATTCTCCTTGTTGTGAGAAAGAAAAAAATGGTTCTACCTGTGAGAAAGATGGGCCGTCTTTTGCATCTGTGTACCAGTAGAACATCCCTTCATGGATATGCAAGCCTAGTGCAAGAGACAAGTACATGTATAAACATGGTCTCCAAACATCCCGGCATTTCAGAGTTGTCCACATAACCTTGCTAGCATCTAGAAACTTCTCCTTCACCTAATTTCAATTGAATATTTCAATATACACGGGGAAGAACCAAGAGATTAATGCAGAGCTTGCAAAGAAAGATTACTTACTCTTCCATAAGCAAAGTTGCGCACACTGGATTCTCTCAACAAGATTCCAACCAAAACAACAAGGCTAGCAGGGACAATAAGCAACCCAAATACACCCTGCAGGAAAAGTAACACCTTCAATTACTCGTGCAACAAAGATGGAACTTAGTGGCCAAATGATGGGAACACTGAATACCTGGTAAACCTTGAAATCATACAAGTGAAAGCATATCCTACGTCCTAATATGATTAATTGAAATCTATAACTCCAATGGTTACCAAAGAAAAATGCTTGTATCAAAATTTATATATTGTGTAAGATCTTCTATTATGGATATATTGTCAACGAACCTGTAATATTTACAAGAGATTCTGCATTCTTGTGTCAAAAGCGAGACACAAAAACAGAGAAAGACAGATTCTAAATTCTTATCAGGTGATGAAACTCTGGATTTCAACTAGGCTGTGAGATTGCATGCCTCAAATAAAGTAGCTGTCAAATCAGATTAAATAAGCCATGTTAAGGCAGATAGTTGTTGCTTTATACCTGTACAAAGTTTTGAAAATCAAAATTTTACCGATTTATTATTGGCTCCATCACAGACCATAACACCACTTAACATTATTCAGAATACCTTTCTACAATGCTCTGTTCTTGTCTGTTATATCAACTAGTATTAAATTTTATAAACGATTTTAGTAGTGTAACGATTAAGATAAATGGAATTTAATGGCAGGAAGAGCTTGGTTTCTTTTTACCAAAGAATTTAATTAAATCTACTTCTTAAATGCTAGGAATGAACCATAGTATTTACTACTTAGAACTAATAATTCAAATGAAATTGTTCAATCAAATGCCGAGTCGGTTTGAGTTGGCCATACTGAATTTCTAAAAATTATCAGATTGCAATCAATAGCTACTAAAATACTGGGAGGAAGTAAACCTTAGCTCCAGCTAGGTGAACAAAAAAGCCACTAAGCGAGAATCCTAACAATGCTCCGATAGAAGAGCTCAGCCCACACAAGCTCTGCATATCACCAGCAAGGGAAGGATGACTTATAGTATGCTGTGTGACACAGGCATCGATAGCCACATCTGCAATTGCAATACCAGCACTTCCTGCCACCAAAGATAACAAGGCGAATCCAAGATGCAGATTCTGGTGTAGTGACAGAATTAGCATGGAGATCACACCAAGAACCCCTGAAATAATTATAAGTAAATATGTCATAAAATTGCACTGAAGTCGTGAGCTGTCTATCTTCAGTCCTCTTCTTACTTATTACTATTCCTATCTTGTTTACATATCCAACTTTTCCTCTATCCCGTTTCTTTCCACCACTTTCCCTCCGGTCGAAGACAAGTCTAATTAAATTATAAACAAACCAGAGAACCAAAGGGAATTCTTTCCTCTCCGTTCTCACAATTAAAACATAGTAAAAATAAATTTCATTAATATCTGATATTTCTCGATTGCAATCATCTATAATATCATTTTTTTTTTTTGCCGAAAGCAATGAAGAAAGTAACAAAAGCACTCGAACAGACTTAAAAATCATTGACATCCTAAAAGTACTCTTTTTTTTTTTGGCAAATAGGGAAAAAAATCACCTATCAGAAGCTAAAATTCAGGTAAAATAACAAAATGACAATAATAAATAACCCAATACACACACAAAGTGGGTTGGGTAATTCATAATTTACCAGCAAAAACGAAATAAGGGCGTCTCCGGTAACCAAGAATGGGTACAACATCAGTAAGCAGGCCCCAAAGAGGCTTAACAATCCAAGGCAAATGGATTACCCCGATCAAGACCTGTGCTTTAGAGGGTTGCACCTTCTGCTCATCTTTCATGTAATACTGTGTGCTAACTCTACTCAATCCCACGCCAAAACCCTGACTGATTCCATACACTATTACCACTCCCAACACAAAGCTCCAATGCAACTCTTCACTCAACATTTTCAACCATTTTATCGGTTTTAACACCGTTTCCAGAAAACCCTTTTTGGGGTTATTCCTTCTCACATGGCTATCTGATGCATCCTGATGAAGTGGTTTTGTCTCTGTTGTTTCTTCTTGTTCTTCCATCATTGCTAAAAAATGATTTTTTTGAACTGGGTATTTGACTAGAGATAGTTCAAAACACGGAAATTTTGGGACCCTGGAGTTGGAGATATAGAATTAAAGGGAAGATCCAAAGAGACTCCCGATATTTAATGAGGAAATCGAACTTGAATTAGGGTTGCCCAGCTTTGAATGTTCCTTAACTTGAACAATACGGTAATGTGTGCTCTCAACGTTATTCCGACATAACATAATAATCTGTGTATTTTCTCCTTATAATTTATTTGAAATATTTGGGTAAAGTTTGACGCTTTTTTTGTGTTGCTGGCTAAATTTTCTAAAGTTTGGTTTTGTTACACGAGGTATATTTCAAACGATTAATTTGATCACGATCGAATAAAATTATTATTAATCAAAAAATTAATCGTTAATTGAATTTAATTTTTTTTAAATATTAACCGAATTGAATAAAGTTTAGTTAGTTAATCGAATTAATCGATTTTTTTAATAATTTTTTAATTAGATTAATTTGATTATAATATAGATGTTTTTATTTGGGTTAAAATTTAATTAGATATTTATAATTTAATGAATTTAGTATGGTTAAAAAATAATTTGATCTTAATTATTAATGGGTTTGAGCTTAAAATATGGATTTAATATATATAATACATTTAATATTTAATAATTTTGATTAATTCAATTAATTAACATATTTCGAGTCGAATTAATCGTTAATCGAATTTTAAAAAAATAATTATTTTTCGACCGAACTAATTCAGTGACTAACTAAATTAATCGAATTAGTTTGATTCGATAGATTAATTCGATTAAAATCGAATAGTGAATGCCCCTAAGATGATCATTGATCCTTTAATAAATATCATATTTTGTACACTAATGATGTAAATAAAGAAATATTTTAGTATAAACGTTTCATTCGATGAATGATTAAAAATAGAGTGATATATGATTCATATATAGATGTATTAATCTTATCTTCAATTATTAGGTTGTGATATTTAATTATTTTACTGAAAGATGAGATAAAATTATCAATAAAAATTTAATAACAAAAGAGTCTTAATTTTTACTCCTTTTTTAGTGTGTTTTTAATGTTATTATGTCACATTAATAAAACATTTATCACCAATTAAATATCTAACAAAAATTTATTTAAAAAATTAAAACTTTAATATTTATATTTCTAACCATTTCTCTGAAAAAAATTAAAAATTTTGATGAAATTAAAAAGAATTGCCAATTTTTAAGAGAGGGCAGGTAGTAAGATGGAGTTGTTCAATTTTTAGAAAATGTGAGAGACCAATATTTGATGGGGTTAGTTGAAAATTCAGGCATACGCCGCATGGTATGGCGCCTCGCTGTCAATAGAAAAGTGTTGACATCCAAAGCTAATGAGCATGAATCAACTTATTTCAATAGTTAAAAAAATCACCGTTATTCTTTAAAGCGATGGATTCGAACATTAGCAATTGTAGTAGGTTGATTGAGCGTTCATTGTCAAATGATTGAGAGTATTTAAAACAAATACTATTTTATAATCACTTTAGCTTAATAAAAAAATTTCTCTCAATACAATAAATAATTTATTTTGTGAAATAAAAAATTTGGATAATAAAAAAATAATATTATAAAATATAAATGAAAACAAATCGATGGCAATAAGTTGTAAAATAAACTATATTATCTGTAACATATTTAAATAAAATACTAGCTATATGTCTTTTATAAATCTAAAACAATTTAGGGATAAAATTTCAATTTATCCCTTTTTTTTAATATGTTTTTCATTCAACTGCCCCTCTGATTGTTGCAAATGAAAGGATGTTGCCATAAACTTAAGTCCACCTACCAACCTGAACAATATCACAAACACGACTTTCGAATACGAATACTTCTACATAGGAAAAAGTAAAGATTCGAAGCGATAACGATATCGATGAATATTTTTTGTTTGTTTGTTAATCTAAGAAATTATATGGGGAAAAAGGGAAAAAGAGTATCTCCCCCTCGGATTTAGGTTTCCTGAATAATTTCCTGTTAAAAATGGAAAAAGGAAGTTGAAGTTAGATAATCATTACTATGCATTTTTCCTTAGATTTGCACCTCTGTGTTAGTTGATGTGATGATGGAAGAAATGAAATATTGTTTCCATGTTCTAAAATAAGCTTAATTAGTTGCTTTGTAACACCCTAGACTTTGGAGTAATTTAAAATGTTTGAAAGTTTGGGTGCATGCTTGAAAACTTCTAAAATTTTGGAGACTATTAGGGCAATTTACTCGAAAATAATTTAGGACATTGAGATCCCAACTTTTCTTTTCATTCCTTATTTTCGTTCCCCACTTTTCTGAAAAACCTCCCAGTCGTTTCTTCTTTCTTTTACACCAATCCTATTGCTTTTTCAGTTTTGCTTCGATTCACCGTCGATTGTGTCTTCGTGACTCTCATTCTCGGTATCTCGTTGTTTGTCCCCTGTTCGTTCTTCATCCGATGGTTTCAGTGTGTCCAGCGTCGTCGGCGCTAGTTTTTTTTAAGGAAGAAAAGTTTCATGTTCCGTAAAAAACTTCATCTCTATTGATCCTTTTGGAAAAATGACGATTTTAAGAGACTCACGCAATCTAAAATAATCTTATGAATTTATTCATAATTTTTCAGCCACCGGAGGAGGCTCCACATGTCGTCATGCGTGAGTGGGACTGTTCCAGCGATTCAAGCCGGTCTTACATCCGCATCATCTGTACCACCCTAACATCCCCTCAAAAGTCCTCGGTCGAGAGGCTCCACCACTACAAAACTACTGACTTTTTGGGTTTCAATGACGATGATCCTATAGCCATTGACTAATGGCTTTGTGAAACCCTATGTACCTTGAGACTATTTTATCTTACCCTAAAAGGTTAGTTAGAGTGCATTACCGCCCTGAAGGGTGATGTGATAGACATGTAGGAAACTGTAGAGTTGACATTAGAGCTAAAACGACTGAGTTAGGAGTTTTTGTTGTCCGAGTTTAGAGCAAAGTACATCGATGTGACTCATACTTATGATTTGAGAAACTGATTTCTACATTTAACTCAGGGTGACTGCTCCGCGTTTAAGTACGAGAGTGAGTTCTTGCATTTGAGTTGTTATGATCCGAAGTTAGTGGCCACAAAAGAGCACCGTTGTAGGAGGTTCAGGAAGGGCCTCCATATAGATGTTCTTACTCATCTAACGTTCGATCCACCTAGAGTTTTCACTAAGTTGACACTTCAAGCCAAGGCTGTCAAGTGAGTCATGAGAAGGAGAGCCCTTTTTTCTAGTGACATTGAGGGACATAGTCGTATAGCCTCAAACACTACTAGATCATCTCAAACATCAGTGAAGATGACCATTGACTTCCGAGGGTTATGAAGATATTATTCTTCTCAGTCCTATAGATTGAGACAGGGATTCAAAGACCGCAAGAGACTGTTAGCTTCAGTTTCTTTGGTGAGCATTAGAGGATCAAGTAGGACTATACATCCCTGACTTATGGGCACTATGGTATGAGGCACCCGGGGGAGTGTGTTGAAAACATTTTGATATTTCAATATAACAAATTAAGATAAATGAATTTTAAGATTTTCCAAAAGATTTTCTAAATATATTCGATATAATTATTCGAATATTAAAATATTACTCCAAATCTTTCAAATGTCATTTTTAATCCTTACTCAAGTGTAAAATTAAGTTTTAAACTTAAAATAATTTCAAAATAATTTTACAAAATATTTCGAACCATTTCAAAGCCAAAAATTCCAGATTGCTCAGAGGGAACCGATTTCCCCCCCGAAAGGGGGTACCGATTCCCCCTAAATAGTTTGGCTCCGATTCCCCCCACGCTCCAAGCTATTTTTATTAATTGATTTCACACTAAAGCGGCTCTATTGACTCCACTAATCATCCCCAATGTTCAGAATCATTTGAAGGTGTATTTAAACAAGCATAGAAGCCATTGATCAAAAACAAGAAACAACAAGCAACTAGAATCAAGAGAGAATCAAAGAGAAAGTATCAAACCTCAAGTTTGAGTATTTCAAGCCTATTTCTCATTCAATATTCATTTTGCTTTCAAAAACACTACTTGTACTCAATTGTATTCATTTTTTAGTGTTATTTTCTTTGTTCTAGAATTGTGCAAACAATCTACCTTGTGAGGATTTCCTTGTAAGTTTGCAAATTTGTAATCTTCTCTTTGAGAAGTGTTCTCAAGAATTGGGGTATATTCTTGAGGGAGTTGTAAGGTTATCTCTTTGGCCTCAAAAGAAAGAACAAATTAGTGAATTTGTTGGAAAATCCTTAGTGTGGATAGCTAAGGTAGTGGACATAGACTTTGGTTGAGAAAGTCAAACCACTCTAAATCACTGTGCAATTTCTTTCAATTTTCTGCAAAAGCTTCCACTAAAATTTTAATTGCCAATTCACCCCCCTTTGGCCGATTCCATTGATCGATTAACTCAACAATTGGCATCAGAGCCTAACTCATTTGAAGGTATAATCGCCTCTTGAGCAGGGTTTCAAAAAACGGTCCGCGACCGTGATTTCGTCCGTGATATAGTGGTTTCACCGCTGTCCGAATTATCTACGACGACCATGATGACCGCAATAGCGCCCACGACGGCCGCAATCACGGTAAATCCGAAATAACCAAAAACGCGACCGTGACCGCGATTTGAAACCCTGCACTTAAGTCGATTCGAGAAGAGTTACATCGATTATCAAGTCATCAATGGCCTCCACTTCAAACTTCGACTCCGATCTCTATTCGATGCCCGTTAACAAGCCTCCATTCTTCAATTGTGCTAACTATACCTATTGGAAGAATAGGATGATGTATTTTATTCAAGCAAGTGACATGGGAGCATGGAATGTTGTAGAAGACAGATATATCAAGCCTCTCACTCATCCAAGATTGTGGAGCGAATGAGAGACGAAAATGTTCCAGCTCAACTCCAAAGCCATCCATATTATATTTTGTGCTCTTGGACCAGATGAATATGGAAGAGTTTCATCTTGTACAACCTCCAAAAAAATATGGAATAAACTACAAGTCACTTATGAAGGCACCGACGAGGTAAAAGAATCTAAAATTAGTCTTCTAACACATAGCTATAAAAATTTCAGGATG